GGGGGAAGCAGCGGACCTCAAGCCCCCCCCCCCTGTACCAGGTACCCTGTTTCCCCGAAAATAAGACCTACCCAAAAAATAAGCCCTAGCAGGATTTCTATGCATTTGTGGTATAAGCCCTAGTGTGTCTTCTTGAGAAAAAAGAAATATAAGACAGTGTCTTCTTTTCGGGGAAACACGGTAGCATCATGAAGCTGCTTAGGCCCAAGCTGTGCAGTCTCAGTCTCTCCGCTGGTAAAGAGGCGGCCGAGTCCTCCACTTTCCTTTCTCTGGGACTTTGGGACATTTACTTGTCACACAGGCGCACCCGTCCCTCTCTACCGCCTTACCTTCTTTTTCCTCCTTTCGATCTTTGGGAAGTTATGCCGAAAGCCCAGGGCCAGTCCTACCATTAGGCCAACCTGCCCCCCACCACCTTTGCAGGCACCTAACCAACCACGGCTGCTTAAAACTGGATGCGGGAGGTGAAAGAGGCGGGCAGGGGGGGGGAACACCTTTCAGGAGTTGCCCGGAGTTTGACACCCCCCACCACCCTATGCTTCCTGCTGGGTGCGGTGCCGGAGTGGGCTCCAGCCGAAAAGTGGCTCCCCTTGCCCTAGTAGCCGGCCCCAGGGGTAGGCTGGGGGCACATTCAGCGGGATGGCCACCAAAAGCCCCTCCTTTCAAGCTGTGGATCATCAAAACAGACCATGTACTGGAAGTTAAGCTGATTTTGGGATCCTCGGAGTTGCGGCTTTAAGGAAAAAGAAATGGAGGGGGTAAGAATATGTCCGTCTTCAGATACCTGTGTTGTGGGGGAACAGAGGCATGTGGTTCAAATACTGGAAGTTAAGGTGATTTTGGTGTCCTGGAACTTGCAGCTGTAAAGAAGAAACAGAGGATATGGGGATATCTCTGTTTTTAGCTATGTGTGTTGGGGGCAGGGGGAGAACAGGCCTGTGGCTTAAATACTGGAAGTTAAGGTGATTTGAGTACTCTGAGACTTGGAGCTTTAGAGAAAAAGAAATGGAAGGTATGGGAATACCCATTTATTTTTGTCTCTGTGCATCTGTACACCGGGGGAAGGGAGATAAAGCTTGTCTATCAAATATAGAAAGTGGGGTGATTCTGCTGTTTTGGACCCTACTCCAACCAAACAAATTCTCCCATCACTTTAGGTCAGGGTATCTGAGAAGCCAGTATTTACTGTGGATTTTGATCCACAGAATCCATAGTAATGTTACAAAATAAAACATTTGAAGGATAACAGTGCTGGAGTCTGATAGCAGTGATTCCTAAGTAGAACAGTAAAACCTGTGAGGCTGGGAGGGAAGAATGATTGGCGTGAGGAGCCAGGTGTCGTCTGAGTGGCTGCTGCATCAGGCTTCATGGGGCTAGGCAAGGCCCGTTGGTGCGTGGGCTGCTGATGTCCCCCTTGAAGGGGTCTCAGAGTGTGGCAGTAAAGGTGGAGGGAACACAACAGCCATCGATGCTGCTGCATTCCAAGACAGCTTTAAGCAGGAAGCAAGTGGCCTTCATGCTTTCTTCCCTGCGTCCTCCCCGGCCAGCCCAATGAAGCCTGGCAGAGCAGCAGGGCCCGGGTTGTTCAACAAAGGGTGGAAGAGGGAGCAGACTGAGCAAATGCTCTTCAGCTGCTAATGATTCAGCAAGAGCCCCAGCAGTGGAAGGCACAGTCCCAAGGGAGCTTCTGAGTACCAGGCTTAGGAGGCGACCTCAGGGGAAGGCCGTGGCCTCTGTGCCCTATTGGTCCACTGGGGTATCTGATTGGCCACCGGGTAAAACAGGATGCTAGGTGGACCCTCTCTGGTCTGATCCAGCAGGGCAGCTCTTGAATTCATATTCGTTCCACTTATCCCAACCTGTGCTGTCTGTGTTCTGTTTCTTCAGGAGGTCTCTGCTAAAATAATGTTTTGCTCGCATTGCATTGTTTTTTGCTACACCTGCACTGGCTCCTGGTTGCTTTTTTTGCATCACTGATGTTTCCACTTGCAATCTTCTACTCACCTTGCTCTTTTCTCTGATTGTCCCATTGGCTACCTGCACTCATTAGCTATAGTCACCTAGTTACTTTGGGTTCCTATTTTCCAAAAGGAAGATGCCTTGAACCACGAGGAAAGCAGGGTATTAATGTTTTAGCAAACAAAGAAGTAAATATTACTACTCTTAACAATTAAGAATATAATTGAATAGGTAATGTAATTTGGAATGGTAGATTTAAATGTAGTTCTCAGTTTTGGGGAGGAGGAAAGTACTCTGCACAGCCAAGATGCTGTAAAGTTAGCCTCCATGCTAGGAAGGAGATGAATGGGGCCTAATGGGATTCTCACAATTTAGGGCACATCAGTCTCCAGTTTTGACATATTTATTACCTAAGTTGTTCCCCCCCCCAGTTGAACCCAAGCAGATGATAACCAGAAACCCCACTTGCCACTCTTTTGATCTGTTGAAAAATATCTTCAGTATTTTGCATGCTAATTTAACAAGACACCCCTATATATACGACTATGATGCATAATTCCATTTCATCGTCTGACAAAGTGTGTGCACACGAAAGCTCACACCTTGAATAAAAGTTTGTTGGTCTTAAAGGTGACGTTGGAATCTAACTTTGTTTTATTGCTTCAGACCAACACAGCCGCCCACCTTAAAGAAGTGTGTTGTAAATCAGCAGTACTTGATAAAACTGTTGTTCCACCAGGCCTGTGGGTGAGACGGTGGGTGTCCATTTATTCCATCTTATTGGTCTCCCTTGCTGAAGCTTTCCATCTGATATGGCCCATCTGAGAAGATCTTATAGTTTGGTTTATGGCCCAGTCTTGAGAACATTGTATTTGTAAACTATAGCACCATCTGTTCTCAACTCGTATTCTTTTTAACTATTTCCTATATTGCTTTAATTGGTATTTCAAATTGCTGTTGTAGTCCACCCTCAGCCCACTTGTGGGGAGGGCGGAATATGAATCTGAATAAATAAATAAATAAGAATATATATAATCACACAAAAGGGAGGTTTTCGTGTGGCACCTCAGTGACAGCAAGATAGAATTCAGGTGACCGTCTCTGGGGAGGTCATTTCTAAGGCAGAGGAAGTAGCATGAGCAAGCAAGAGTACTTCCCTGGGGCAGAATGTGTAGACCCTCAAACAGGTGCCTCCACAGTGACTGGGTAGGTTCATGCAGGGAAAAACAGACATGTAGAAATCCTGGCTCAAACCCAGAGCTTTGAATAGTGCTTGGGAAGAAGGCTAAAACCAGTGAGGACAGCAACACAGGCAGGCAACGTCTGTTCACTGTGGCACATTCCCGTGAATGGCCTGGCCTGGCTCACTGGATTCTGGGATTTCCAAATCTTCTTTGAAGGCAGTTCCATGGAACATAGGTTAAACTATACTACCTGTGACTCAGGCTTGAGTGACTGAGTTGACTGTTTCTTTTTCTGTCAACTAGATTTTTCTCCTGTCTGCAGTGCTGCTCCCTGAAAAAAGCCTCCCCATTCCTCTCTGTTAAGCCATCTCTATTACAACATGGACATTCTTTAACCAGACCCTTAAGGAATTGGAAAAGCAACTCTGAACCTGGCCTTTCTTGTTTGTGTCTCTCCCTTCTTTTTAGGGTATCATGCTGGTATATGATATCACTAACGAGAAATCTTTTGAAAATATCCGTAACTGGATCAGGAACATTGAAGAGGTAGGTTCCCATACAGTGTTCTGTGTTTTTTATAAGCTGTCTTGAAGGGAAAAGGGCTGCTAATGGATGCTCTAGGCCGGTGGTGGCGAACCTATGGCACGGGTGCCAGAGGTGGCACTCAGAGCCCACTCTGTGGGCACGCGTGACATTGCCCCAGCCAGGCCCAGACCATCATTAAAGTGTCGCGAATTCTCTGCCAAATAATTTTAAGTAAATGAAAGCATTTGGGATTGCTTTCCTTACTTTGTTTGGATCATCTTAAGTTAATGTATGAGTTGTTTTTTCTAAAGTAAAACCTCAGTATTCAGGTTAAATTGCTGTGTTGGCACTTTGCGATAAATAAGTGGGTTTTGGGTCGCAGTTTGGGCACTCGGTCTCTAAAAGGTTCGCCATCACTGTTCTAAATCATTAATTCAATTCATCTGAATTGGTGCCATTACTTGATTGAAATGCAGGGGAAATTCTCTTTATAGGACCTTTCTGCTAATTCTTGGGGCAGCAAGACTTCTCTTGGCTGCCAAATGACAAGACTTCCAGCCTCAGTCTGGGTTGCTTTCTCACCACGTGCCTTCTTCTTCTTCTTAGCATGCTTCTCCAGATGTAGAAAAAATGATCCTTGGAAACAAGTGCGATATGAATCACAAGCGGCAAGTGTCCAGAGAGCAAGGAGAGAAGGTGAGCGTGATCCGGAGGCTGCTTTTAGGGGGCATCGAGAGACATGAAATAAACTAACTTCACCATCTAGACTTCTGTAGCAGTGCTTATCTTTGAGGAGAGGTTGGTGGGAGTTCTTATGTTTCCTGTCCTTGCTTTCAGTTGTGCATGAGCAGTAAGTGAAGGAGCTATCCTTGCAGGTGCCTCTGTTACCTATTCCTGTCTCTCAAGGGCCTGGCTATGTGAGGGCGTCTCCAGCCTGTGGGTATGAGAAAGAGATCCTGAACAGTCTGGGGAAAAAAGAACATCCAGCGTGAGCAAGCAAGAGTACTTCCCTGGGGCAGAAAAAGAAAAGATCCTTGGGTGCTGCCTGATCTGGCCACACTTTAGGAGACTTAAATGGATTTCTTGTCTTCCACTTGTTTTGCCTAAACCAGCTGTGATGCTAGAAGTTTCTTGAACGAGCACCTCTTTTGAAAGCACGCAGATCAGACTGAGACCATATGGCACGGGAGGAGATTTACAATGATAATATTTACTTCATCGATACCCTGCCTTTCTTCTCAAGGCAGTTGGCATCATTCTCCTCTCCTTGGTTTTATCATTACAATAACCCTGTGAGGTAGGCTAGGCTGAGAGTGCGGTTGGGCCAAGGTCACTGAGGAAGCTTCCACGGTAAAGTAGGGATTTGAAGCTGGGTCTCCCAGACCCTAGTCCAACACTCTAGCTGCTACGTCCAACTGATTCTCTTGCATTTTCCAGGCTCTTTTCCTGATATGAAATGACCCTGTAGAGCTTCTTAAAGCACACTCATCCCTCTCCCTGCTCTGGATTTCCCTTCTGAATTAAGGCACTTGAAAGAAAGGGGGAAAAAGATACTTGGGAGCTCTTTCATGGGATTCCCAGCATCAGATTTGATTCGGTCTGTCCGCTTGTCAGAGGCCTTGGGAGAAATGTGGGCCTTTCTCCAAATGCAGGAGCAACTTCTGTGACAGGATTTTTTCTTCACAGAGTCTAATTAATTAGGAACATCCGAAAACAAAATACAATCTCCCTATTACCTTTTGTCAGGACACCCGTTTGTATGAGAGGGATGCAGATGTGGCTTTGAGTTGCTGCAGCATTTCTCTGTAATGTGACTGCTTTGTCAGGGACTGAGAGGGTAGGCTGTGGCTGTGTAGCTGACCTGTGATCTCTCCTTCTTTTTGTTCAGCTGGCCCTTAGTTTTGGAATTAAGTTTGTGGAGACGAGCGCAAAGGCAAACATTAATATAGAAAATGTAAGTGTTGACTTTTTGTCTTCATGCTGAGGTGTCTTCCAATAGTAGAAGTATCTTTTCTGGTCAAATGGAAGCCCTGTCAAACATCCACATCCAGCTAATGGGTAGGATCCCAAGATCAGGTCTGGACAACTTTCTGGTCAGTGGGTTGGATCCTATAGATTTGTTCCTAAGAACGTAAGAGGAGCCATGTTGGATCGGGCCAGTGCCCCATCCAGTACAGCACACTGTGTCACACAGAGGCCAAAACCCAGGCGCCATCAGGAGGTCCACCAGCGGGGCTTTCCTCTGCTGTGAGGAATCTTTTTCTGAAGCGGGAGGCACTTGTCCATGGCCACAGAAGAGTGCCAGCACTAGCAGAACAGAACTGCCCATTAGCACAGATAACTGGGTGTAAACACCTAGCTGCTTTGAAGGGAAGCAGAGCCCCCGTCACTAATTTGACTAGAAAATCTGTGTTTCTGCGGCTTTATTTGCTACCCTCTCTTCAGTGGTACCTGGATGTTACTGTTCTGACAAAAAACCACGCCAAGACAGGTCCCCTATCAAGGCAGGTGACCTCTTAAAACCAAATGGTGAGGCTGCAGTGTCAGTCGTATCCAACCTTTTCATTCAATCCAAATGGCTAAGTAGCTTTTCGAGTATAAACCCAGAACACTTCTCTAACAGGAGAAGTTCAGTGATCCAAAACAAACAACCCGTTCAGCTCCTTAGTTGGGATCCTTAGGAAAATTTGCACCCAGTGAGGCACCAATACCCCTTACTGATCACCCGCTCTCGCGCTTGGGGTGAAGCCTGTTGATCTTTCCTGCAGATCACAATGATTGTCTTGGCATGTCAGCAGCATGTCTGGGGACTGACAAAAGTATCTTGTTCCTTGATTTGTTTGTGTCTATGCATGTACTCTAGGCCAGATAGTGAGCTTGTGGAAGACATGGGAAGAACTCCGGAGAGGTCAGCGGGAATGGGGGGAGAGAGCCCTTAGCAGCAGAGCAGTTTTCTGTCCTCTTAACATGTTAACGTTTCTTTTTTAAATTTTAGGCATTTTTTACTCTTGCAAAAGACATCAAGGCAAAAATGGACAGGAAACTGGTGAGTTTGCTACCTGCAATTAAGTCCCTTTGTATAGAAAGAAGTACCAAACTGCAGGTTAAAACAGTCTATCAGGGCCCAAGGCAATCTATCAGCACCCAGAATCCATAGTAGTTTACTGCAGAAAGACAAACAGGCTGACTTGAGGGAGCAAGCTAAGCCATACACTACAGGAAAAAACAAGACAAGATTCTTGTATGCACTTTCCAGTAACAAATGAAGCCACCTTATACTGAATCAGCATCACGGTCCATCCAGGTCAGTATTGTCTACTTAGACAGTCAGTGGCTCTCCAGAGTCTCACGTGGAGGTTATTCACATCACCTTCTGCTAGATCTTTTAACTGGAGATGCCAGGGATTGAGCCTGGGACCTCCTGCATGCCAAGTAGATGCTCTACCTCTGAGTTACAGCTGCTCCACTAATTTCTGTCATTTGTCTGACTGTTTAGGAAGGCAATAGCCCTCAAGGCTGCAGCCAGGGTGTGAAAATCAGCCCAGAGCAACAGAAGAAAAGCAGCATTTTCCGATGTGCCCTTCTCTGAGGGATGCAGCCCTAGCATGGCTACCTGGACTGACTCAGCTTCCTGGACTGTTCTTGCTTGCAGGGGCTTCTCTCTCTCTTTCTGTCTCTCTCTGAATCTGACCCCCCTGCAACCCATCCTGTGCCTATGAGGAGGAGAGTGAGAAGGCAGTGTCTTTTCACGACTGACTCTTGTGTGTTAGAGAACTGAGCTGTCTTCTCATTGCTTCTGATTGGTGGAAAATGTGCTGGGGCTTGGAGAAAGAGATGTATGGCAAAAGATCACCTGAAGGAAGTTTCTTATGGGGTTCTCTTTCTCTCGGGGATACGTTTCGTTAACTCTGTGGAGCCTAGTAGTAAAAGTAAGTTATGATCAGGATAATTCTAAATGATTTCCCACAGAACTCCCAGTCTGTTCTAACGGTGTGGGACACAAGAATGTTTATAGGACTTAATTGTACTGTCAGCTATAAGCACTGATTTTTTAAAAATAGACCCTCATTTCGGAGGGCCCAAAAGCTCACACTTCCCTTGCACAAAAAGATATACCTTTATCTGTCCCTGGTGTGCTCTTGCCAGGTGTTCTCAACATTCCTTTGGTAGAAGTTGCACAATACCTAAATACAAAAATAAATCTATTTTTTTAGACAAACTAAAGCATGCTGTCGTATTTGGCAACCAGGGGGATCTCCAGCCGGTACCTGGAGGCTGGCAACTAGGGGTCTTTGGGCATGACCTGGAGGTTGGCGACCATGGATCTCCAAGTCTTACCTGAAGTTTCACAACCAGGCAGGCCCTGGAACTTGGCAACCAGGTGGGATCTCCAGGTTTGACCTGGAGACTGGCAACTACATAAGATCTCCAGGCACCAACTGGAGGTAGGCAAATGGGAGGAATCAACAGCCATTACCTGGAGGCTGGCAACTAGATGGGATCTACTTGCTTATTTATTAAATACATTGATTTATTTTGGCCCTGCTTTTCTTAAGAGGGTATCTCCAGCTCCATCTGGAGGCTCAAAAATTGAACAAATTCCCTATCAAGCACTCAACGTTTGTTGATGTAGGTACGTTTTGTAAAATGCTTTTGGTCGGCATGTAAGATGTTTCTACAGTCTTTTGAAATGTTTGCCACATCTTATCCTTTTAATGCACAGCAAAGAACATCACCGGTTTTTGAATTGTTTGGGTAATTCCATATCAAGCACTCCTGTTTGTTGATACAGCAAAGAACAGCACCGGTTCTACTTTGATAAAGCTTTACAGTGAAACGAGATAGACTGTAGCTAGCACCCTCGTTAGAAGAGTCTTCTTTTGGAACCGTTTGCATCTGGTCCTTCCTTGGAATCTTCTTATATGATCATCCTCATCAAATATTTGGAAATCATACTTTGTGTACGTCTTTTATATGAAATATGGATTGTCATTGAATGGATATTATGCACCCCCGTGTTCACTGTGGAATCATTCTATTTTGATATTGTTTAATTTCTACAAGAGCTCAATAATACCACTATTTTTATATTTTCTTTCCTGCACTGTTTGTTCTATTTTTGGTCGTTGAACTGTGCAGTTACCGTGGTTTGTTGGCCCTCTGGAGGCTGGCAACCTTAGTGGGCCTTACAGCAACCCTCGGACACTGGTTCTGCTGAAAAAGAGAGAGGCGAGACTCTGCAGGCTTCTGCTGGGATTTGAGCTTGCACCTACAGTCAGATCCTAGTCCGGCTCTAACAGTTACACGATACTCTGTTTTTTTTAAAATGTCAGTTCACCTTCCCTAGTTTTTATTATCTGGGGGGGGGGGGAGAAGATCCCACCTGGTTGCCAACCTCTAAATGCTCAAGGACTGTCAGTTTGACGTCTATACCTGTCTTTCCCAGGTATAGATGTCAAGCTGATGGGTCAGTAGTTTCCCAGATTCTCCTTTTCCCCCTTCTTAAAGATGGGGACAACATTTGCCCGCCTCCAATCTTTCTGCGGTGGCTCAAGTGGTTAAGACGCTGAACTGCAGGCTGTGGAAGGTCGGTAGTTCAGCAGTTCAAGACCCGAGTTGCCGCATGACGGAGTGAGCTCCCGTCTCTAGTTCCAGATATTGCCAACCTAGCAGTTCGAAAGCAAGAAATTGCAAGTAGATAAATGGGTACCACTTTGCTGGGAAGGTAACAGCGTTCCGTGCGCCTTGGTGTTTAGTCACGCCGACCACATGACCATGGAAACGTCTTCGGACAGCGCTGGCTCTTCGGCTTTGAAACGGAGATGAGCACCGCAACCCTAGAGTCGGACTCGACTGGCTTTCGAGCAAGGGAACCTTTACCTTTAATCTTCTGGCACCTCACCTGTTCCCCAAGAATTCTTAAAAATGAGGCTCAGAAATTACATCCACAAGTTCTTTTAGTACCCTTGGATGCAGTTCATCCGGCCCTGAGGACTTAGTTTCATTTAAAGAAACTAGGTGTATGTGTACTACCCCTCTGCCGATCCTAGGCTGCAACTTAGTGACAGGTATAATGGTTAGAACAGGGTTGCCCAACATGATGCCCACCAGTACTTCCCATGGTGTCCACCAAGCTTTTCAGAAAGTGAGCGGGCCGTTGTAAGGCAGGTCTTGTTATTGGCTGCCCTCATTCATATGAAAGGGTGTCAGGGACTCAAGCCTGCGTCCCCCTGGGCCACCTCTCCTGTTTCCCTGAGCAGTGCCTCGCCCTGTGGGTCCTTGAGGTTAAATGCCCACAAGTACAGCAAACCTTTGGAAAAACATGCACAGGTTTATTGAACAAGTAAAAAGGGATATCACTATGCAGTACAGTCTCTATGGCTTAGCAACAGAGAAATAAAAAGGCTGACTTAAATACATTTAGTACTGGATGGCTCACCTTCTTGCAGCATAAGAATCTAAGCTACAGCCTAAAGCATTCTACATGTTGCTGTCTATCATGATGTAGCATACCATATCAAAGCGTACTAGCCTGGCACAAGCATAAAGTTAGCATGGCTTCCCTCTGGCCTCATTATAGTCTTTTGTCCTCTGGCACAAGGTGGTCTCTTGAGCCCAATCATGACTCTCCCTTGATGGAACTTTCCAGAAGATGTCAACATTTACTCTTAATTCCCCCCTCCCATCTAGTTACACAACTGAGCCCAGGTTCTCACAATTAGCCAATTACCCCATTCTTGAATCTGGCCTTGAAAGAGGTAAGGAAGATCCAAACTATGGACGCCTGCAAGCCAAAGCAGGCCTGCTGATAATCACATTAACCCTTGAGAGGAATTAGGGTGCTTTGCCTCACAAAGGGTTTCCCACTGGAGAATCAGGACTGGAAAGCACCTGTGTGGTTCCATTCCCCTTTCAGACTTTACTTCTTCTCTTGAGGTTTAATGGGGAGGTATCTGTTTGGCTCCATCTCCTGCAGCAGCCATTTGGGGTTTGGTTCTGTGTCCTGTGGCAGCCATTCTGCGATGGTGCTCACCACCCCCTCTCAAAATTCCCAAGTTGCCTGCAGGAACCTCAGGTTAGAGTGTCAGACAAGGACTTGGGAGACCCAAGTTTAAAGCATCACTCTGCTGTGAAGTTCACTGGATGACCTTGCGCTAGCCATTCACTCTGTCTGTCTGGACCTAAGCCACTGAAGAGGGGTGTGGTCAGGCTACAGCAGAGAAGGGGCAGAACCGCATCTGGTGTTTGTGAGACATCAACAGACCAACCACCCAGTTTCTTTCTGGCCTAGAATCTGAACTTGGCTTCACAGTTCCAGGCACTTGACCACCAGTGTTCCCTCTAAGCTGAGTCAGTGTGAGCTAGCTCACAGTTTTCTAGCCTCCGCCTCACACATTTTTGTCTCAGCTCAGGAAGGATGGCTCCAGAGCAAACTAATTTATGTAGTAGCCAAATCACTTGCTCACAACTTTAATGCTGGTAGCTCACAAAGTAGAATTTTTGCTCATGGGACTCCACAGCTTAGAGGGAGCATATCTGACCACCCCAGTAGTAGTTCAGATGCTTGATAAGTTCAAGGTCCGGTCCCACGATGAACACCACCATCACCTCAGAGACAGAGAGCTTCTAGTATCCCGTTGGTTGGATCCAATAAGAGCAAGAGCACCGTGGCTTGGGACAAAGGAGTGGCAGGGTCCTTTAGGTGCTCATAAAAGGCCACCAACTTGGTGGTCAACAGATCGTCCTTTTCATTGTATGCAGGCATAACTCATAGGAACCACAAATGTAGAGTGGCATCTTTAAGACCAACAAAGGTTTATTCAAGGTATGAGCTTTTGTGTTCAAGGCACACTTTTTCAAATACATTGGAATGGCAGATGAGGTTCTAAACTTATAGACAAGGATTTAACAGCAAATTAACATGTAACATGATGTAAGTTATGCAAAGTAAAAAACAATAACAAATTAAGGCTATACGGTCAACAGTTGTAAAGCAATAAATATGTCACAATAGCAGATAAATATCTAAAGGTGTTTTTTCTAATTGTGGGAAGTAACAGAATCTTAATTATCTCTTCTGAGGTGCAGAGGGTGTGTGGAGGGCACTTAACAGTATATTTCGAGCTGGATGTAATGTCAACAGACATCAGTATTCAATATACTATTATGAAAAAAATACACAAAAATATAGAGGATTTATAGTTCTTCTTGTTGAGAATACATATGTGAGGACTGAATGAGTTAGCATATATAATGGGATAGCATATATAATGGGATAAAAATCCAATATCCCTGTTGAGTCCTGGGGAGGTTTTCCCCCCAACTGTTGTAATAATTTGTAATTCAGCAACTTTCCATTCTGTTCCTGAAGTTCCTTTGTAATAAAACAGCTACTTTGAGGTCAGCCATTGAATGTCCTAGAAGGTTGAAGTGTTCTACAGGTTTCTCAATCTTGTGATTCCTGATGTCAGATTGGTGTTCATTTATCCTCTGACAGGACGTTTGCGGAGTGCAATTGGCTGTACTGGAGGGGGGGAGCTTCATTTGAACTGTGTATATCTTTGGATTCTCCTGCCAGAACCCCAGTTCTGACACAGTACTGGTCTGGCCTGGAACATGATTATTTCTCAATAAACAAATCACTGCCAGAGAGTGTTGTTGAGTGTAACTTTGTCCAGGAGTCTGACATTATCACATGCATGACCACGGATTGCAGCGCAAAATTCACAAATCCAGTGCTTCATGGCATTACCATGGCACAAAAAACATGGAACCGAAGAATAGATCCTCAGAATTTTATTTGGGATCACTAACAAATCATGTATTACATCCATGATGACATATTGCACCACAAAACACATGGGTCCACCTTTTCATGGCACCACTACAGATCCAAAGCACAAAAACATAGATCCAAAGCACTGAATCCTTATGGATCCTCAGGAATTCTAGGTAGACTCACTCAAACTTATTAGGAAATCACATATCATGTCCATGCCCACGGAATCAATCATTAAGAACACAAATCTTAGTCTTTGTGGCACTCCCATGGTGCACACCCAGCATAAATACTAGGATTCTCTTGGACTGTGAGTTTTGTGTGACATCACTTTAAAATCATGACGATCCATGGTGGCACCATAAAATGGTAGATTTGTGATTTCTGTGGTGTGATAAGTGTTTTGGTGGTGAGTTA